GCAGGGCTTTGAAACACTGGCCAGAGGTTCTCTCAGGAGCTCTGGGGCATGCAGACCATGGTTTTAAAAATGGAGGTGATAGAAAGTTCTAGAAATGCTTCCCCCACTTTTTTGGTGAAGAGTTAGGGTCTCACTCTGTGGCCCAGGCTGGCCTTAAACTCCTGGGCTCAGCCTCTCAGCAGCTGGGGCTCTAGGCGTGCGCCACCACATCCAGCTAGCTGTGGTTTTATTCAGCAAAAAGGAACCTTGTTCCATGACTTGGAAGAACACTGCTGGCTTCTAAAGTACTTTCTGCACAGCATTTGGTTCTTCCTGTAGGATTGCTGTTTGCACCTCACAGAGCTCCTCGTTATAGGCCCATGTAGCCGCGTCTCTGTGCCTGTCACTTCTGCAGGCTGACAGGGGTGAGCTGCTCTGTCACCTGCCGCCAGCCGACTCCCCTCACACAGCGCACACAGCAGTGTCGACAGCAGTACAGTTCCCTCGCACTTCCTCTGGTCAAGGTTCCCAGGAATGGCTTCGCCTGCCTGGATCTGATTCTGGATCTCTCCCGGGCTGCAGTTACCTGGAGGGTCCACTTCTAAGGTGGCTCATTCACAAGCCTGGCAAGGTAGTGCCAAGTGTTGGGCACAGGAGTGTCCTCCCAGAGTGACACTCCTGCCCAGTGAGGGATCCAAGTGAGCGAAAGGCATACGTCAGGCTGTGGTTCTGCAGGAGGCTGCGTATTGCCCCCGTCCACCCAGGGCCCACTGGGGGAGGGGACTGCACGAGGTAGAAGCACTGGGGTCTTCCTGGCTGTCCTGGAAGCCACTGCCACAGCTGTCACTCTCTTGGTCACCCTTTGTTGCTCCCTGGTGCCCAGCAGTGCTGTGGGATTGGGGTGTGCACTCTGCATACATAGCTTCTGATGAGACACGCCAAAAGAATTAGAAAAAGGCCTGGTGTCCAAACTGCTAGGACAGTTTCCTAATCTGAGGTTTTGTGTTACTCTAGGAAGCGTTTAGTAGGGTTCTTTTAACATATGCATTTAGAATAATTTCGCTTGGGAAAGCCTTTTGAATCAGGAAGATGAGTAGGCAAGCAGAAAAGCAGAAATTTTGTTAACAAATACTCCTTTGCTAGTTCTGTAAGTGGATTTAGTCTAAATCTGCAGGTTTCTTTTAGTTTATCTCATTGTACCTTATGTGTGTCATTCCCCAACATGGGTTTTATTTTGGGGGGAGGTGTTTACTGGTGTTTGACTCAGGTGTGCTTTGCCTACCTGCTGAGCTACATCCCTGACCCTTTTTATTTTATTTTGAGATGGAATCTTGCTAAGTTGCTTAAGAGTGGCCTTGAAGACTTGTAATTCTCTTGCCTCTGCCTCCCAATGGTTGGGATTACAGACATGCACCACCATGCCCGACCCCAAGTGGATTTGAAAATTATAGTTTTTCAAAGTTCATCAGTGAGAATTTAGGTTCCCATCACGGGAAAAAATATTACATTGTCCTTGTGTTCTTTGAATTTGTGTTCTAAGACTAGCTCACAGTTAGTTAATATATTAGAGATGATTTTTGTTTTGAAAGTTACAAGGAGATTGTATCCCATTGCAGTTTTGGTAATTAAAGCCAAGAACCACAGTTTTGAGTAGGAAGGATTATGTTAAATTGGTGCTTAATGTAAACTTACATAATTTGAGAGAAGGTCTTAGAAACATAGGAAAATTCTGAAGGGTTTCTCTGGATCCCATTGGGTATATTTAGGTATGTATACATCATGTACCTAACCCTGTTTTCACCGTGATTGGCTTCAAGGTATGTGTGTGTTTTCTAGAGTTTTATGTATTTGTTCAGGTAATTCCACTGTAGAATGAAAAGCGTTTTTAGCACGATGAAATCCAGGGTTTTGATTTTTTTTCTGTGATTGTTTATCACCAGTTTTAAGACCCTCTCGAGGTCCTCCATTCAGGCATTTGCATGTTGGTGTGATCGTGGTGATGAGTAGCTGTGAACAGCACTCTCCTGTGTCTAGAAACAGGGGGGGTTTCTTTTCTGTCCAGGCAGCTGTGAAGTTATCAGGGAATGACTCTCCATCCTTGATTAATTGTCCAGCTGAGAACCTGGATGGGGCGTCCCAAGATGCTGCTGGCATCAGAAGCCTCCCCATCACTCAGATCTGCTCCCACGTATCCAGTGAGGGTCATTTTGCACCAAGGACAAGAATGCTGGGTCGCTACTATAGTTTGGACCTGGAGTGTCCCCAAGAGGCCATGTGTTGAAGTCTTGGTCCCAGCCTGTGGTGCTGTTAGGAGGCAGGGTATACTAGGAGAAAGTTAAGTCACAGGGGGCACATCCTTGAAATCCCTGTGGTGCCTGATGGGACCAGTCCTTCCTTCCCTTTCCTCTCATTTTGCTTCCTGGCCACCATGAGGTGAACAGGCTTCTTGTACCAGTTGCTTCCCCCTTGACATCTGCCTGCTACAGGCTAGAGCAACAGGGACAAGCAACCATGGACTGAAACCTCTAGGACTCTGAGCCAAAGAAAACCTTTCTGATTTATAAGTTGATTAGCTCCTGCGTTTTCTCACAGTGATAGAAAGCTGACTAGCACAGTTGCAGTTGGAACAAACGCTGACAGATCTATTTTCCAGGAACAAATGAGAGCTCCATGGCCTCTCCTGCGATGGCCCAAAATGGACATCCCTGGGGGGTCCACAGGAAGTTGGCCTTTGTGAAGAGCCCCTCCATCACAGGAGAGCACATTCCGTAGTTTCCTAAGGATCATCAGTGACATTCACGTAAAGCCCAGCACTAATACTAACGTGCCAGCTCTCATCTCCTTCAGTATCGCCACCTCGAGGGCAGGTACCGGGGCAGTGACAACAGCTGTGTTTGGCGGCAGCTTGATGATAACCAGACTGTAATGTAAAGTCCTTTTTTGTGCAAGTTCGCTGAGGAGGGCATGTCCCAGGTTCTGTCCTTTGGTGTTGAGTGGACAGTGAGTTTGCCTTGCAGTGCAGTTTGGCGCTGTGTGTTTAGAACCCTCTGTCATTAGCCAAAGCTCTCTGTCTCTGGAGACCTGCTTTAGTGACTTTCCTCTGTCCAGCTGCCACTGGCTTTTTTGGGGTGTGTTTTTGGAGGAGATTTAATTTAGATCGTTTTCAAGAAATAATTGTAAGCCATTTTTCTGAATGAATAATGATAAAATAGTCAGTCAATGGATTGCTGAAAAGTGGAGAGTAAGTAATGGATGTACAGATAGGTTCACGGGATCATCGGTGATGTCCTTGAGGTTGGTTCATGATAAACGACAATCTGCTGAGTCAGTGTTGTAACTTGGAAATTTGTTTGATATTACATAAGATTGAACGAAGCACTCCTTTATTCTTGGAATCGATCTTCTGTTAGTCATTTTGTGGGTTCGTATGCTGCTCTAGATAGATATTAGAATATCCTGTCCTTTCTCTAATGATTGGGAAAACGTTTCTTTTATGAGTGTGTGTGTGAGTATGGGTATGTGTGTGTGAGTGTGTGAATGTGTGTCAGGCATTAGGGTGGCAAACCCAGGGCCTCGTGCATGTGGGCCAGTGCTCCACCGAGTCTGTAGCCACAGCCCCATTGATGAAATGCCCTCTGTAATCTGTCAACTCCTGTGAGTGGTTTTAAGATATGATTTCCCTAGATCTTGCCAGCTCTTAGATTTCTAAAATAATAATTCTTCTAATCAAACAGTATTTTCGTATTTTATTTCAACATTTTATGAAATAGTTTAGACTTTCTACCTATTATAAGTGAATTTCAGTTCACCTACATGAACAATACCTCAGAGGTTGTATATAATGTCTAAATTGGAAGCTAAAAAGAAACCAGCAGATATGGAATGCTTATAATTTGTTTGTAGAAACAGTTGACATGTGTAGGGTAAGCAGGAGAGATAAAAAAGGTTTAAATTGGCTTTTTTAGTGGTTTCTTTTTTACTTTTTTTTTGGTGCTGGTGATGAACACCAGGGCCTGGGAATGCCAAGCACAAGCTCTGTGAGTCACAGCCCCAACCTCGTGACCTTTTTTTTTTGATTAGTGAAATGTAAACCGCATCTTCCAAGTCATCTGGAATTTAATCTAATTTTGATAATGATATAGTGCCAAATCTAATGCATATGTGTCTTTGTCCCCCACATGTGACTTGAAAATGCCCTTCAGTAAGGTTGTGATGTCCCAGGAAGGCTCAGTGGGGTCCTGGAGATGACATTCAGATGGCGGGGTTTCTAGAACAAATATATAACTTGTAAGAGGGAGCAGTAGGAGAGAATTAGAATAGTAAAATCCTTTAGCAACACTAGAAACAAAAAGACATTGGAACAATGTAAAATACTGAGAGAAAAGCACTACAGACCAGAAATCCTGTACATGGTCCAGCAGTAAATGTCAAAGCCGAAAAATTGGAATTGTAGGAAATGCAAGGAACACCACAAAGGTCAAATGCTAAGGCATACACTGGAGTGCTCTGTCACATGAAAACCGACCCGTGACATAGTTCCAAAGACAAAAGAGGCAAATGGGAGTTTGTATAATACTGGATCAGCATCTAAATGGAAAGGGCCCATCAAAAATCTTTGTCCTGGGCAGAGGTTCAGTGGTAGAGCCTTGCCTGCTCAGTCCCCAGCCCTGCAAAAATAAGTAAAGGCGTGGCCTGCTTTGGTGGCTCCTCCTTTGGCACCTGCCCCTCCCCTCTCTCCATGGGTCCCTTCTGTGGATGGGGGTGCAGTGAAACCCTCATTCTATTATTAAAATGGCACACTCACTGGCACCCAAGGTCCATATGAAGAGTTTTCAAAGTTCCAAGCCCTCTAGGGCGCAGATTGAAACAGATGAGGAATTCCCAGACGGGCACTGGTGGCTCAGGTTCCCCGGGAAGTCTGAGAACCCAGCTCAGCCTGTGGCCAGGACTTGTGCACAGCTTTGCCGCCGTGTGTCTTTGCTGAGAAGTAAATTGCCTTTTTCTTCTCTTTTCAAATGTAGGTTATATATTTGGGGAGAACTCCTGAAGATGCCTATAGAATATTAATCTTTGGCGATACATCCTATATCCCTTTCAGGTAAATATAAGAATGATGGGTGGATTTGGTCACTCAGACCCTTCAGGACTCTCTGGGTGGTTGTTTCTGAAAGCAGAAGACCTGGTGGGTAGCATCGTAGGGTGGGTGCAGGAGACACAGCCCACCCAGGGTCTCTGCAGTGACACTGTTGACATTTTATACATTGTAGGGTATTGAGCAGTGTCCTTGCCTTCTGCTCAGGAGATCTCAGTGACATCCCCACCCAGTGATCAAAACCCAAAGGTTTCAAGGTTTCCAGTCACTGCTGGGTGTGCCTGGAAGTGCTTGAGTGGAGGAGGAGCCAGGTCTCCTCTTGCCTTGATGGAAGGAGGCTTTGTGATCAGCTGAGGCCCTGAGGTGACAGTGCTCAGCATTAACACTGGCAGGTGGCTCCTGAGGAGTTGAGCAAGGCGATGAGACTCCCGCGTGACCAGGAGTCGACTCCGTGGGGCTCAGGCGGATGATGGCAGGGTCTTTTCATAAAGCAGTGACATCCTCACCTCAAACTTACCATGAGCTTGTCCTAAAGGTATTTTAAAGAAAAGTTGTTCTTTTTCTTTAAATAAATAAAATTGAATTGTATGTTTCTCTACTCATTTATCAAGTTGCTTGATTTAGCTAGATAATCTAAAGCCCTGTATGGTTCTTAATGAGTAGTAAATGTGTGAAATAACTTTGCTTGTTGCACACTTAGTTGGGCCCATGGTCGCCTTGTTCTTCCATCCACAGATTAGTCGGTTGTTGTGGGTTATGATGCAGCCTTGAAGGCCTTTTAAAAAAAATCTAAGGTTATGAATCTGGTGTTCTTGTGGCTGAGCCTTGGATTGGGTCTCTCTAGCCACAGGCAGTTTCCTCCAGGAACTCTGTGGATGGCCCATGGACTTGACTCCGTGAGGGAGACTTTAGGGACAGTCTTCAGAATCCAGTAGTGCATTGGTTGGAAGACTGTATTAGTAATTGAGCAAGTTAGAAGACATGGTTTGAACCCTCTGTCCCCAGAGTGTGCCATTCATCTTCTCAGCCCATAATAAATCAGCAGCCATGTGTTTCAAAAAAAAAAAAAAAAGAAAAGAAAAGAAAGAAAGAAATGCTCTATTTGTGGTTCCTGAGTCACAGGGCCTTGGGTCACCCTGTTGATACTTTTTTCCCAGTTTACATCATGAGGGCATGTATTTGAATAAACACAGGTTTACATAATCTTAAGCAAGGATTTGTGACACACTGTTGATGTGAGGAAGGGTCTGTGTTCATACAACCCCTGAGAACAATAAATGTTGTCCACTGCTATTTCTGTGTGTAAAATCATTGAAATTTGGCACTGAGAAATGAAATCAGTCGTTTCTGGTGTAGGATCACCAGCCAGAAATTCTCTAAACAACCAGACTTAGCTGGAAGCCATTCAGCTTTGTGAAGTTGGAATCTCTTTAGACAAAGATAGCCAGAAACTTGATGCACTTTCTCAAAGTGTGGTCTGAGTAGTGACCCCAGTCTGTGAACTTTCTGTCACCACCCTGTGCTGAGATAAATAAATTGAGAGTTAGATTTTAGAGACATTTGTAGTAATCCAGTAATTTTAGATTTGTGAAAATAAGTAATAGAAGTTTATACATATATATAAATTAGGTTTTTTTTAACCCTTCCATTTTTCTAATAATTTGTGTTTATACATATACATGTATATATGTTTAGTTGTTGATGGACCTTTATTTTATTTTCTATGTGGTGCTGAGAATCAAACCCAGTGCCTCACACATGCTAGGCAAGTGCTCTACCACTGAGCCACAACCCTAGTAATTCATTTTGATAAACTAAGATCACTGCATCATTGTGGGTATGCAATAGGTTATTTATATTTTACATTTATTGTACTTTGCAAAAGGAGCAGCCCATAATGGACTTAAAATATTAAAATGTGGTGCTTCACCCCATTTTACTGTTCTGTAGGACTTTCTAATTAGAAAGTAGGCCAGTTTGGATTAAGCCTGACAATACTTTGAAAGAGATTAGATCATTTTTATCTTTGCCACTTGTAGGGTAAAGAATCAGTGTAACAAAGTATGGATAACAACAGCTTTTGCAAGAGTAGCATTCTTTTACAGCAAATAAATTTAATGTTCAGAAGCAATATTTAAATTTAATTGAACCTGTCTCTTTAAGCACTGAGTTTAAAGTGTGCTTCCTTATGTGATTTCTATTGCATTAAATATTTATCTAAGTAAGAAAATAGTGGGCACCATTGTGTTTTCTGGTTCCCTCAGGTGCTCCTGTTCCTTGGTGTCCTTGGTACCCCTCTGGGCTCCTGAGCTGGTGTGTGTGTGGTGGGGCTGGCACCCAGGGCCTGTGCCCCCTGGGCAAGTGCTCTCTTCTTGGGCTCCGCCTTCTTTTCTGGAGAGATGTGTAGGAGGCTGTCTGTCGGGAGCTCTCCTGGGGACATCAGGCAGATGGGCTTGGGCTCTGCTCTGCTGCTACTTGGTCTGTGTACAGCTTTTAAAAACACTCATCCTGAGTGCTCAGCACAGCCCAGTTCTGTGTGGTCTTGAACTACCACAGGGTGCAGAAGGCCGCCGCCCTCCCCAAGATGCCCTCCTGCTGCCCCTGTCACCTCCCAAATAGCCTTGGCTGTTCCTTCTGTCACCGCCAGCTTTGCTTCCCTTGAACTTCAGTATCTGGAATCCTTGGTCTGTCTCCTGGGAAGCTGGAGGCTGGCCTTTCAAAGGCATCCTGTCAGAGGTGTCACAGGTCTGTCCCCGCGAGGCTATGGAGGGGGCTGCCATAGCCTCGTGTGCCGTGGTTTGTCTTTTGTTCCTTCTTGTGTGTGTGGTTGTGGGGATCGACCCAGGGCCGAGGCAAGTGCTCTACCACAGCCCTGCACCCCCAGCCCTGTCTCCTGTTATTCTTGGATGGTTTGGGGGTCATTTGCCGTTTTTAGTCCTGATTTGAAAGCTGGTATTTTTTTAAGCTAGTATTTGGTGTTGCTTTGCCATTTCTGAGCAGTCCCCCTTTGTGGATCGCATCTGTTTTCCCGAGTTTGATAGATGATGTTGACAAGAGCTGCCTGCCAGGCTCAAGTCCGGGTTCAGAGCTGCTCTTCTGCCTGTTTGAAGAAGGCCACTTGCTTGGGTGGGAGGAGACAAGGGAGGCACCAGTTCAATAATAACCAGTTCAATAATAGAATATTTTAACTGAAAAAGATGTGCTTTCTTTCCCTCACTGTTAGTTTAATATTGCTTCAATCAACAGTCCCTTAAGGTTTGGATAAGAACTAAGAGTTAATGTGTAGGCTGGGTGAATTACACCCTCTGTAATTCCAGCTACTCTAGAGGCTGAGACAGGAGATCACAAGTTTGAGGCCAGCCTCAGCAACTTAGCAAGATCCTGTCTCAATATAAAAAGGGCTTGGAATGTAGCTCCGTGCTAAAGAGAGCCTGGGTTCAATCCCCAATATTGTGGGGGGTGGGAGGGATTCAGTTTAATTTTTCAGGTATTTGTGTGAAAACCCAGTCAAGGTGAGCAATTAATGATGCCCCATGAGCAGCCTGGTTCCACCTGGGGCCCAGGGAGAGCTATTCCAGTAGGCCTGGTGTTTGGCATACCTAGAATGATCACAATTAAATCCTTACCTTGCCTAATTTCAAAAGATTTTATCCTTCAGCAGCTCAGGGTAACTAAAAAGCAAGCAAATAAGAGGGTAGCTTATTTTCTTGGGTAAAATCTTAGCTGATGTGAAGAGATTTGTGGTCAGATCACAGCCATGTGTCTGTGTGGTGATCGGATGGAGTTGTCTTGTCAGCTGTTGTGAGCACTTTTCCAACAGTGGAGTGTTTCCACCCAAGGGAGTGGGTGCCTTTGTCCCTGTGGTCTTATTGTCCCTTCAGAGTCAGAAGAAGCTTTCCAGTTAAGTCGTTAAAAGTCTGAACACAATGATGGCAACAAAGTGCTTGCGAGTTTTCACTGATTTTTCAGATAATACCTTGACTTCTCAGTGTGTCTTTCTACTTGGAGACACATGCACAGACACAAGTGCGTATTTGGACACACATACACATATGATTTGGCATTCAAAGGCGATCTTTTCTGATAATAATTTGATAAGGTATTTTCCAGTTCTAAGAAAAAATATTCAGATGCCCTGCCCTTTTGTGAGGAGGAGTAGATGTTTTTTGTCTAAATTCAAGAATGAACCCAGGTCTTAAAACAAAAGCCACCCAGAGAGCTCACTAGAACAGTCAAACGTATTTGATTTTAAATCCTGGTCAGCTTTGTTTTGAGGTAAGTTTGCTGCGGAAAGTCCACTGAGTTAATATATTTCCATACTTTCGGAATTTCAGAGATGCTGCCTACGGAAGCTGCAATTTCTACATTACTCTTCTCGACTGTTTTCATGCAGTGAAGAAGGTAAGTGACTCGGAAGTGCTCCCAGGGCTGTGCTAGAAGTGAGGACAGCTCAAGGGTCACCCAGCTTTCTTCCCCAAAGATCCATCTGCTGGAATTTTTTGCAGGATGTGTACCAGGTCAGAGGCAGTCCATTTTCCAGCTCACATCAGAACGACACCAAACCAGGAGAGTTTGTTCTGAGTGCTGCTATGCACGATTTAGGTTCAAGGGCAGGGGTGCAGCTCAGCATTAGAGCATTTGCCAGGCAGGTACAAGCAAGGCCCTGGGTTTGATCCCCAGCAGCCCCAGAACAGCAGAGCGGGGGGCGGGGGCAGGGGGCGGAAAGGATATAAAGAGACGGTTTAAGAATTAGGTCCTAGATACAGAATTCATTTTGAGCATTTTGTAATTTGAAAGAAACATTAAGTAAATAGATGACCAGTTCCAAATTCTCTTTTATTTATGTGTTTTATGTGTCTGATTCTCACTAATACTACTTTACAAATGTACGTCTATAATACAGTAACTGAAACACAGATTTTATTTTTCCAGGTGTTCAATTTTCAGTTCAGCATAGGAATTTGGTTACTCAACTAGTTAAAGACTATGTGAAACTAAGTGGGTCACTGTTACTTCATCAAAATGGTTTTCAAGGCGGGGATAGGGAGTTCAGTGGAAGAGCATGCACTCAGCGTGTGGGAGGCCCTGGGTTCAGTCCTCAGCACCCCAAAGCCCAAACAAAAGACAACCGCTCGCCCAAACTGTTTCAGATAACTTGTGTATTAGGCCCTGTGTGTCTGTGTCCAGGGGACAAGGTCAGATCACAGTGCAGATCAGCAGGGCCGTCACACAACGCCTCAGGCCTGCTTATTGGCTGGGGCAGCACAGGCACTAGATCAGTAACTGCAGACAGAAGAAGCTTCCACCAGAAGTTCAAGTTCTGTGGCAGCTTTTCCGAGGCCGGAGGAGCCAGGGTTTGCTTCCTGGTGTAGTGAAACAGACTTTCTGGGAATCTGGGCAGAAATTGTGTCTTTAAAGGAGGCTAACTGGCCTAAAACCCAGAGCCTGACCGGGGGCTCCTTTTCCTGGACTGGGCAGTGACACGTGGGTGTGATCTTGGATTTCAGTCCAGTGACTGGGCAGGTGAAGTTCGTTGTGTAGCTGCCACCAGCCCTGAGACAGCTCACGGGACCCGGGACCTCAGCTTAGGCAGGTGTTGGCACAGGGGAAGGGGACATGGAGGTTGAGGGACGACAGCTGCAGATGACAACTTCTCGCTCTGGTGTGGTCCCTGCCAGCTGGGCCCAGAAATGGCTAACGTAGCAGCCACATCACCTTTAAGAGGAAGGAAGGGAACAGTCGAGGGCCTGGGACACGTCCACTCTGACACCGACACCATCGCAGTTCATTGTTGTTTACTGACTTGGGGGTTGTGTTCCTTGTTTGGTCTGTGTTACACCTGAGCCCAGTTAGCTCTGTGCTAGGTCAAAGATTCCCTTTTTACACAATATTTGGTTTTATTCGAGGGCTCACAGGTCTGAGTTTCAATTTAAACATTTTTCGTGGGTGACTGGTTTTGAGGGTTACTGTATATATGAAATATCATTGTGATTGTGCTTTGATTTTAGTGCTGCTTCTTGTAGGATGAACTTATAAAATTTAAAGGAAGGGACTGGGGAAGGGCCTCGTGGTAGAGTGCCTGCCTAGCCCATGTGGAACCCTGGGTTTGATCCCTAGCAGCACCAAAAAAGAAAAATTCAAAGACAAATAAGAATTGCAAGTAAACTACATTAGGAGAGGGCTGTGCTGGGGGTCGAACCAGGGCCTTGTATGAACCAACCACTGAGCTTCCCCCCACAGCCCGTAAACCACATTTGACTGTGTCATTCTGTAGGAAAATCTCCAAATATCATGAAGTACATTAAATATATAAATGTCTTAAATTCAAGGAAGGAAAAGTCATCATGGATTTGGTCTTGTACCACTTACCCTTGATTTCATTTTCCATGATCAGTAGCAATCTGAAAATATTAATGGAAAATTCCAGAAATAAATAATGCCTAAATTTCAAATAATTTTAGTACAGTATATTATAATTGCTCTATTTTATTCTGGGTTATTGCTAAACATTTATTGTGCCTGATTTATAAATGAAACTTCATCATAGGTACGTTTGTATAAGAAAAAGCACAGCATACTTAGGGCTCATTGATTTTAAGCACCCACTGGGAGTCTTGGGGGGGACATAGTTCCTGCAGATTAGGAGGAGGGAGTACTATAACTCTGTTTTATAAAACAAGGACTTTTTGGTTGTTATTCTAGCCTCCTTATTTTACATTGATATTTCTGAAGACGGGGTTTACAGGAGTCATTCCTTTTGAACCGGTTGCCGTGGTGTTCAAGAATTCTAGCTCCTGTCCTGTGTGGCTCAGCCATCAATGAGCTGGGCGAACATGCTCTGCGTATCTTGCTTAATGTCCTCTCCTGCTGTGACTCAGCAGGGTCACAGGATAGGACAGAAAATTTTCTTATGAAAAGAATACTTTTTTTTTTCCTTAAAACTTTGAATTTTCATGTTACTTCTGGGCTGTTTTAAGTATAAGGAACATTGGTCTCTAATAAGACTTTAAGAATTTGCAAGTGAAGGTGTTGATGGAATGTGTGGGCTCTGTTTGTGGTGGAGTGGCCCATGGTTTCTTTCCTCTTTAGTAGCTACTTAGAGACCTTTACGTCGAGCATTGTGTTTTTGCTCTCAACATCCTAATCTTCCACCATGGTGGGGTTGAGCTAATAAGTTGGTTAGGATTACTTTACAGGTATGATTATTTCACTATGTATGGATAGGATCTTTGGAGAATGGAAATATAGACACAAAATTTCCTTAAACGTTGTCATGAGTCATTTCCAGATAGTGGAAGCATTTGAAAGGCATGTCCCCACTTTGTTTGAAAACTGTTCAGTGGACAGTAATCCAAATGTAATAATGCTTTTCTGGGATACCTCTTTGTTATTAGGAAATTGTTTCCTTATTTGTATCTTTGTTCTTAAAAGCTTTATTTTGGATTTTAGGCAATGCAGTATGGCTTCTTAAATTTCAACACATTTGACCTTGAGGAGTACGAACACTACGAAGTAAGTTTTCAAGAATAATGTTTTCAGCCCCCTTCGCTCTAGGGTGCTATAAATGACAAACGTAGATATTTAAGGTGCATAATGTTTGCACAGCAGATGATTACCACAAGGTAATCAGCACAGCCATCACTCCCAGTTGGCTTCTTGTGTGTTGGTGAGAACACTCCGGGCTGTGCTCGGCACATTCTCCCATCATATAGTACCTGCTTCACCAGATCTGCAGAACTTACTCATCTCACTACCCAAAGCCCATGCTCTGATGAAAAACCCCATTTCCCCCACTGTTTTCAACTCTATTCACCTGTGGTATTTGTAGAAGTAAGTAAAAATCTTACGTTTTGAAAAAAATTCAGAATGGTTTGTATGTGTAGACTAGCCTTTCATGCCTTCCCCCTTACCCGTCTCTCCAGCCCTAGTTCACAGGGGTATGGTGGGCCGGGGTTAGTGGTTGCAGCGTGGAGGAGAGTGCGCCTGTGCTTTTTTTGTAATATTAAGTTAAAAAAATGTTGGCATTGTCTACTCCCATAGACTTGATAGAGCGAGACAAAGTTCATGAAGCCCTTGGCATAGGGTGTGAGGAGGTGAGTGGTCACTTCCCATCTAATGACCTCTGAGAAATGTCACTTTTGTTTGTATTAAGTCAGGACACTTGTCTTGAAATCATAGGAAGCAAACACAAGTGGCTTAAGAGAGCAGAGATATTTTACTGGATCCCATCAATTAAAAACACAGGAGTAAGGCCGGGCGCTGTGGTACTTTCCTGTAATTCCAGCAGCTCAGGAGGCTGAGGCAAGAGGACTGCAAGTTCAAAGCCAGCCTCAGCAACTTAGTGAGGTGCTAAGCAACTTAGTGAGACTCTATCTCTAAATAAAATACAAAATAGGGCTGGGGGTGTGACTCAATGGTTGAGCGCTTCTGAGTTCAATCACTGGCACCCCCCCCCCCCCCACAAAAAAAATAATAAAATCCAGGAGCAGAAATTCCTGATGCTCAAGCATGAACCTGTGTAGTGCTCAGACACTTAGAGAAGCTGGACTAAAGCAGGCGCTGTTCCCAGACCAGCCCTTGAGAGCCGTCAGGGTGACTGCAGCAGCCTCCACCCCCAGGTCAGCACGCTCAGGAGAGAAGAGTGCTGAGCTCCAGCACAGACCCGGGAATGCCCCCGTCGGCCTGGCCCAGCACCAGCCTGTGCTCCGCGGACGGGTGTGGAATCTTCTGGCCAGACTTAATTCTCTGGCCTGCCCAGAAGCTGGGGTACTGGGCTCAGCCTTATCAGACAGTCCAAACAAAAATGAAGAAAGTTGGGGGGGGGGTGTGTCAGGTAGGCAGAAACCCCACAGGTACCATCTACATTTTTAAAAATAGTATTTTTATTTCTGAAACATTTAAAAATGTTGAGCCTCGTGTATTGGCACACGCCTACAATTCCAGTGACTCGGGAGACTAAGGCAGGAGGACCACAAGTTTGAGGCCAGCCTCAGCAACTTAGTGAGACCCTGTCTCAAAACATAAGGGCTAGGGACATTGTTGAGAGCCACAGCCCAAGGGGCTCCAGCAAACTTCCAGCTGATTGGCTCACAGCGGCCCCAGCAAAATGCCGCAGTCTGGCTGGGCACAATTCAGGAGCCTCGAACACACACCTCCGTACCACACGATCTCTCCAGGAATTCCCTCAGAGCCCAACTGCCACCACCGGCTTCCGGTGAGCCTCTCAACGCACCACTCCTTCCGCTCTTGAGTTCCATTGGTTGGGTTGTATGGGCGGAGCCAAAAGAGTCCCCCAATGAGCAGCTCCGTGGTCTGAAAGGGTGGGGAAACAGCCCAATGAGCATCACCGCAGAGGAGCCAATCAGCTGGAAGTTTGCAGGGGCAGCTGTGAGCCAATCAGCTGGAAGTTTGCTGGGGCCCCTTGGCTGTGGCTCTAAACAGCACGTGGCTCAGTGGTAAGCATCCCTAGGTTCAATCCCTAGTACTGGGGCGGGGAGGGAATAAATAAGTAGTTTGGTTTTTAAGGCTCCTTTCTCCTTGTGGGTAATGGGAAAGGTGTGTGCTGAGGCCTCCTTCAGGTGGAAGCACTTAGAGATTCTGGTTCATGTTTTTGGTACCGGGTGGAACCCAGGGGTGTCTAACCCCGACCCACACCCCAGCCCTTTTCATACCTTATATTTAGAGATGTGGTCTCACAGAGTTGCTTAGGGCCTCACTAGGTTGCTGAGGCTGGCTTTGGACTCTCGCTCCTCCTGTCTCAGCCTCCCCAGCTGCTGGGGTTACTCCTACCATGGTTATTTTGAGCCTCAAACCCTCAGATAATGGAGAGGTGGTTCCTCTGGCAGCATTTCATGCGGTCATATGGAATCCTTAAGAATAAGAGATTTGCAATTGATGAATTAGGTTAATAATGATAGTTCTTGCAGTGGTGTACCAAAGATGTAAAAAGCACATTTTAGGACTCACCGAGTTTAACTTATCTTTACGTCTCTATATCAATAACTCACCTGAGACTCTGTAGAGTGTATTGGAGTCATGCACTTCCTTTCTGTGCCTGTCCCTATAAAATCGAACATTTACAATAAAACATGTTTTCTCTATCTAGGTAAGCCAAACGCTGGAACACCACCTGGTGTCCTCCCTGGATGTCACCCTAGTGAGAAGGGAGGTGGGAGGAGAGAGAGCCCACAAGTGAACTGTGCTGCTCTTCCCTTTGCAGAGAGCAGAAAATGGAGATTTAAACTGGATAATACCAGACCGCTTCATGGCCTTCTGTGGACCTCACGCAAGATCCAGACTTGAAAGTGGTATGCCATCCTGTGGGGCCAGTGGATATAAATGTCCTTTCTGTGTTTTCCTTTGAAGAAGACCAGAGAGTTAAACTCAGCTTGACTGAGTTTTTATTATCTAAACACACTTGGTCATTTGAATTCATCATTCCACCTGGATTTTAACTCGTTTTATTCTGTTTTTTACAGTTAGAATCCAATTGGTATTCACTCCCCAGTCTAGATACTGTTCCCAGTGTGCGTGTGTGAATGTTACAGGTGAAACTACTTTTCATGGTTTTCTTCCTGCCTTTCACAAGATCTGGTGAATTTCTTTATGTAGGTTACCATCAACATTCTCCTGAGACTTACATTCCATATTTTAAGACTCACAATGTCACTACCATTATCCGTCTGAATAAAAGGATGTATGACGCCAAGCGCTTCACGGATGCTGGGTTTGATCACCACGATCTTTTCTTTGCGGACGGCAGCACCCCAACCGATGCCATTGTCAAAGAGTTTCTGGATATTTGTGAGAATGCCGAGGGTGCCATTGCCGTGCACTGTAAAGGTAGGTTCCTGGGGGTGGTTGAGGGTGGCGTGCACGTGAATGCTCGGTTCCATGCCAGGACACATGGAGCGGCCTATATTTTTAAAGCAAGGCTTTCAAAACCCTGGATCCATGTGAAAAGTCTAGTAAAGTATTTTTATAAGTGAGTTTACAATGAAAGGCATTCATCTATTTGTCAGATACCCATTGTGTGCCTGTGGTATGGCCAGTTCTGGGAACGCCAGTGAGTACGGCAGATTCTCAGGAGAGGTGGTCTTCATGGAGACTACGCAGGCCTCTGTGTTTTCCGCACTTACAACAGTGCCTGGTACATAATGTTTTCCAAATGAATGGCTGTGGGATAATGAATCATATAAATATGCTAGGATGTACTGAAGTCTTCTCATATTAGTTATTAATAAGACAAGGGATATATTATTGTTAAGAAAAATCCAACATTAGGGAAAAACCCAGCAAACTCTGAACTCCTCCAGAGTTAACCACTGTATTTGTAGTTACAACTATAGCCATAATGTGATAATATCCAGATGTTCAATTTCCGGTGAAGAATTCTCATGCATTCAAAGAAAGCAGAAAAGGGTAATCAATTCAAAAGGAAAAATGAGTGAACCGAAACTGACCCCGAGAAAGACAAGCCGTTGGCCTGCTAGACAGATATTTTAAAACCACTTTTTTAGATGATGCCAAAGAGTAAAAAGAGAACGTGGAACATGTCAATAAAATGATGCATGAACAAAATGGACATATCAACTTAAAAAAATATGGAAAGCAGGAGGAAACCAGGAAGAAATTCTGGAAATGAAATGTATGAAAATGTTATTGGAGGGATTCCAGAGCAGATTTGGGGAAGCAGGTAAAGAGTTAGTGATTATAAAAACAGAAGCATGATGGACGGGCTCAGGAGGTCAAGGGTAGTGTGTTTTCTGTCATGCGGAAGCTAAAGAGGAAAAGGAAAAGAACGGTGGGGGGTATCTCACCAGAATCCAAGGAGATCCATAGAGGAAAGGGACCGAGGGGAGGGAAGGGACTGCCGAGGAGTGATTTGTTGTTTCTGTGTTGTGTGCGTGTGTGAACGTGGAGCAGCAAGTCCCAGCAGCACATACAGCTGTGACACAGGAATTAAAAAATGTGGGAAGAAAATAGAACTGTAAAGAGAGAATCAGTTCCGAGGAAGAGAAAGGAAACAGGGAAGAGCCCTGAGCAGAGTCTGCGGACCTTGGGACACAGTCCGGCTGCCCCGCTGTATGAATATGGACATCCAAGGAGCTCAGCCACTCCGAGAGGACAGACTCAGCTGCTCACGTGAAGACACACTGTAATCAATTTGCCTAAAGCTGGAGACAAAGTATCTTGAAAGCAGCCAGAGAGTCAGCAGGTTATTCACCATCTCAACAGAACCGTGGAAGCCAGAGGCAGGGGGTTGATAGATCCAGTCAGCCCAGGACCCTAGAGCTTCCCTGTAGTCTGCAAAAGTCCCTAAAAAATGAGGGAGACACTGAGACATCCCCAGGTAATCAAGTGCTGGGGGGAGTCGTTACTGCTAGACTTGTACTATGAGAAGTGCCCAAGAGCATCCTTCAGAAAGCAGAAATGAAAGGACGCTAGGCAGTAACCTGAAGGCACGGGAAAAATAAATGTCTTTGGTTAAGGTAAATAACGAACAGTTATAAAGCCTAGTCTCACTGCAACGTATGATAACTTGTAAAATTGCTTTTACTGCATCTGTTTTTTTTTTGGGGGGGGGGGTTGTACCTGGGATTGAACCCAGAAGTGCTCTACCTTATCCCCAGCCCTTTTTATTTTTTATGTTGATACAGGGTTTTGCTAGGTTGCACAGGCTGACCTTGAACTTGCAATCCTCCTGCCTTAGCCTCTTGAGTCACTGGGATTACAGGTGTGCGCCACCGTGCCCAGCTTATTACTATAATTATTGTAATATAAACATTAGAGTTTGCAAAATAAGCAGTGGAAAAACAAAATAAAATGCAACCAAACTCAGGAGTGGTTCTTTAAAACTTAGCTACGTTGCTAAGCTGCTTGATGGACAGAGATCACGAATGTCAGGAATGGAAGTGGAGACACTACTGCGGTCTCTACAGGAATAACAGGACAATAAGAGAGTCCCCTGAACAATTCTAGGACAAGCTGGGTAATCTAAATGAAATGGACCCATTCCTAGAAACAGAACCTACCAACCTTGAATCATAATGAGAAAGAAAATCTGAACACCGCCACTAGATCATGAGATGGAGTCAGCGAGCCAATTGGCCCACAGGGCAGCGCTTGCTAAGTCTTCGTGTGAGGCCAGAGTCGCCCTAAGACCAGAGCAGACAGAGCCGACGTGAGGAAAGTTGACTGGACCAGTAGCCCTTGCAAACATTGATGGAGAAATTCAGAATGAAGTGCCAGCAAACTGAGTCAGCAGTGTACTGAGGGGATCATCCACCATGAAGTGGTGTTTATCCCAGGGTTACAAAGGTAGGCCAGCATACAAAGACCAGCGCAGTACTCCACGTTAACACAAGGAAGGACAGGCCCACATGAATGTCCATCAGTGCAGAAACGACATCTTGGGCTGGGCATGGGTGGTGCATGCCTGTCATCCCAGCAGCTTACGAGGCTGAGGGAGGAGGATCATGAGTTCAAGCTTCAGCAACTTAGCAAGGCCCTAAGCAATTTAGTGAGAACTTGTTTCTAAATAAAATAGAAAAAGAGCCGGGGTGTGGCTCAGTAGGTAAGTGCTCCTCAGTCCAATCCCTGGTATCAAAAAGAAAAAAAAAATTCTAAGGAAATATTGGTGTCTGAATTACCTGTCAGACTCAAGCAATTGTCTTAAAAATGGTCAATAGGGGCTGGGGATGTGGCTCAAGCGGTAGCGTGCTCGCCTGGCATGCGTGCGGCCCGGGTTCGATTCTCAGCACCACATACAAACAAAGATGTTGTGTCCACCGAAAACTAAAATAAATAAATATTTTTTAAAAAATGGTCAATAAATTCAAGGAGAATATAGATAATTAAATGAAATCAGGAAAATGATACATGGAAAAAAAGATTGGTAAATTTTATGGTAAGTGTTTTAGCTGTACCTTAAAAAGCCACTCAAGCAGACACAATCCAACACTGGTCATTTCATTTTTAAATTATACTGTGCAGTCGAGCTTATTCTCAGCCAGGGCAGTTTTGCTTCCCCCAGGGAACATTTGGCAATGGTACAGAGACATCTGTTTCTTAGTGTTCACAAGTTGGCAAGAGGTGCTTGTTCTATCTCGTGGGTAGACATCAGGGAGTTGCTAGACTTCCCACAAGGCACAGGATTAGCCACCCCACAGGGCCATTCCTGACACGGTGGAGGGCCCTGGCTGAGGTCTAGTTAGAACCCCAAGAAGATTTGACGCAGGAGCGCTGGATGAAGACCCTATGAGGCGGGAAGCAGAGATGCATTAAGAAGCAGGTCTGTAGGGAATAGACCAAGAAGGGGAATAGCTGGGTCAAATGGTGGCTCCATTCCCAGCTTTCCAAGAAATCTCCATACTGCTTTCCAAATTGGCTGCACCAATCTGCAGTCCCACCAGCAATGTACAAGTGTACCCTTTTCCCCACATCCTCGCCAGCACTTGTTGTTGTTTGACTTCCTAATGGCTGCCAATCTTACTGGAGTGAGATGGTGTCTTAGGGTGGTTTTGATTTGCATTTCTCTGACTGCTAGAGATGGTGAGCATTTTTTCATGTACTTGTTGATTGACTGTATGTCCTCCTCTGAGAAGTGTCTGTTCAGGTCCTTGGCCCATTTGTTGATTGGGTGGTTTGTTCTCTTATTGTCTAATTTTTTGAGAGGAAAAAAAAAAAAGAAGCATGTGTGTCTTGTGGGCTGCTGGGACAGAGCGCCACACCCTGGGTGTCTTAAGTAACAGTGTTGGAGGCGGGTGACCCCAGGCAGCCTGAGGTGGTGGTGCTCGAGGATTGGGCTCTGGCAGTTTCTGTCCTTGACTTGCCGAGCACTGTCTTCCCTGAGCTTTCTCAGGGCTTCTTGGGTCTCTTCCTTTTCTTGCAAGGAAAGGCCCCTCCCTTCCAACCTCGCTCAACCTTATTTCTCTCCAAATATAATCACTTGAGCAGCTAAGGCCACGTACACTGAGGTAGTGGTGAGTTCAGGTCTGTGATTCTGCTTTCTGGCCCCTCAAAATCCATGTCTTTGTGGCCTTCACTCACTGAGTCACAGCAGCCCGATGTCTTCGTCCATTTGAACACCCACTCCAAGTCCACAATGTCATCTGGGGCTGGGAGGGAGCTTGGTCGTAGAGCGACTGCTTAGCCCATCATCTAAATTAGGTTCAAGAGACCCTGGAGATGAGATCCTCCCTGTGGCAGGTCTCCTCTCCAGCTGTGAGCCTGTGAAATCAGGCAAGCCGTGTGCTTCCACGACACAGTGGCCGAGGAAGTGTAGGGTGGACATTCCTCTTGCAGAAGGGAAAGGTCAGGAGAGGCCCCCAAGCAAGTCCAAAACTAGCAAAGCAAACACCATTGGATTTTTTTTTTTTTTAAAGAAAGAGTGAGAGAAAGAGAGAGAATTTTTTAAATATTTATTTATTTTTTTTAGTTCTCGGCGGACACAGTATCTTTGTTTGTATGTGGTGCTGAGGATCGAACCCGGGCCGCACGCATGCCAGGCGAGCGCGCTACCGCTTGAGCCACATCCCCAGCCCCTGGATTTTTTTTTTTAATTAATATTTTTTAGATGTTGATGAACCTTTTTTTCATTCATTTATTTACATGTGGTGCTGAGAATCGAACCCAGTGCCTCACACATGCTAGGCAAGTGAAGTGCTCTACCACTCAGCCCCAGGCCCAGCCCCAGCCCCACCATGCTCTCTCTAGAACTTATTAGGGTGGTTTTTCTCTTTTTTTCCTCTCCCCTCAATATGGCTAGCCTGAGAATTTCTGAACCTTTAGTTTCTAGTTCCTTGTTGCTTACCAAGTCCTCTTCACCCATCTTTTTGCACTTAACTAGCCATCAAGGAGAAGCCAGGCTGTACCTTCTCACTTCTTTCACAGATTTCTACTAAATCTCCAGGGTTCTCATTCAACAAACACTTCCTTCTGCAAAACACGGGGTTGTGTGCTGATGATTTGCCACTTAATTACGACTTCCCTCCAGTTTCCAGTAGTGCATCCGGCATTCCACCTGAGGTAATCCGGCATCACCCTCAGCATCCGTATTCCTAGCAACAGTCCTTTCAGGGCCACCTGGGCTGCTTTTGTTTCCCCCTCCTCTTAGCAGTATTGGCAAATGAGCTAAAGGCCTTGCCCGTACTAGGGAAGCATCTTCCGCACAGCCATACCCCAGTCCACAGCTTTTTCTAACATGCCTCAGAACTCTAAAGGCCCCTGTAATTCTGACCTTAAAGCCACTTCTGCATGCTAGTGTATTTGTTACAGCAGCATACCTTTTCTGATCCACATAAGTATTAGGATCTTCTAGGGAACAGAAGCAATAGGGGTGTGTGTATGTGTGTGAGAAGGAATTGGCTCACGTGAACATGGAGTCTGGTGAATCCCAAATCTGCAGTGTGGACTGGCAGCCACTGTGATCGGGCCCTTGGGTGAAGTGCAGATGCAGCTGGCAGGAGACTTCTCTGGGATGCGGGTCTTTTTGTTCCGTTCATTCCTCCAGCTGATTGGATGAAGCCCACCCACATTACGCAGCGAAGTGTGCTCCCTGAAAATTCTGCATTTAGATGTTAAATTCACCCAAGCACTCCTTCCCAGCAGACACGGCACACGACATTAGCCATCTCAGGGTGTAATGTCAATCGTCTGGACACGAGGAAAGGAGGGCAGCTGTAGTGGGGCTGGGGCTGGGGCTGGGGCTGGGGAGAGTGCTTGCAGGTCCTAATTGGATGCGATTGTAAGGGCAAGACTCGGGCAAGATTCAGGGCTCTGCTTGAGAATCCAGCGACTCTCAGTCTCAGCTACACCTCAAGTTATGGGGGGGATTTTAGAAACTCGGTGTCCAGCACCAGTCTTTAAAGCCTCCCGAGGTTCCAGTGTATAACCAGCCCTGAGACCCAGTGTTGAGATAAGCAGGATCATGGGAAGTCTTAAAATTTTATTTTTCACCTGCCCAGAAAATTTTAGAGTTTGCAAGACGAGGTTTCATCCACTGGTTTGTTTTCCTAGCCGGCCTCGGTCGCACAGGCACTCTGATAGCCTGCTACATCATGAAGCACTACAGGATGACAGCCGCCGAGACCATCGCGTGGGTCCGCATCTGTAGACCCGGCTCTGTGATCGGGCCCCAGCAGCAGTTCTTGGTCATGTAAGTAGATGGGAAGCTCTTGTCATTGCTCGGGGACACACACGTCTGGAGACTGGGGAGTTAGTTTCTAGTAGGGGCAGTCTGGTCGGAAAGTGTCGCTCATGGATCCTTCTGGAAAGCTGTGTTTTATCGTTGCTTGCATGCTCTAGGAAACAAGCCAGCCTCTGGATAGAAGGGGACTACTTTCGGCAAAAGTTAAGGGGGCAGAAGAATGGAGCACATCGGACAGCGGCTGCCTTCTCCAGACTCCTCTCGGGTGTTGATGACATTTCAATAAATGGTGTGGAGAATCAGGACAAGCAGGAACCTGAACCGGTAATTGAGCGGTGCCCAGCACTGTCCCCAGCACCATCCTCAGCGTGCTATTGTCGGTGCTTTATGTGCTGTTGAGCACCTTGTAGGGCGATGGAGAAAACTAGTCAGAAATAAGAAAGCACATATTATTATTACATATTCTCAATTGAGGGGCCATGGTCACATAGTTCTTTATACGTATAACCCTCCCTAGGAACATGGTCCACACAAGAGCTAAAACAAATTTGTGTGTCGTCCCCAGAATTAAAAATTGGTTTTAGCTCTCTAGATGATCTGGTTGTTCCCTGCCCTGGCCCACCCGCTCCCTCCTCTCCCGCCTGCTGATTCGGGAACTGGGAGAGGACTCACAGAGAACGGTGTCTCTGGGCCGCGGTACCACCTGTCGTAAGTGGCATGGTGACATTCTATAAAGAATGATTCCCAAACTGAAAACCCATGTGCCGCTCCACTGTCCGTAAGCTCTGTCACCAGAGGGCCAACGGGGTTGGTGCCTGTGAACTTGATATGTGACTCGTTTGATTTTGGAAAGAGAAAAATGTTTTAAAGTTGAGCAGAAACTCTGTGTGTGTGTGTGTGTGTGTGTGTGTGTGTGTGTGTGTGTGTGAGAGAGAGAGAGAGAGAGAGGCCGCTATGCTTTTCTGCATTAATAAATGTGACCTGCATCGTTAGCTTGGTGTCTTTGTACTTACACAGTACAGCGATGACGAGGAAGTCAGTGGAGTGACACAAGGTGACAGACTCCGGGCCCTGAAAAGCAGAAGACAATCAAAAACTAACACTATCCCGCTCACGTGAGTCTGGTTTCCTTTGCTGTGGTTGGTCCTGCTTAGTGTGGGTGGGTCGTCGCGGCAGAGTCCCCTGCACTCCCCTCCAGCCGCATGCCCCTGGCTGCCCTCTGTCGTGGGTGCCGATGGTGGTCAACATCCAGGGCTGCTCGCCTGGGAAGCCCTCAGCCGCCTGTCCGCCCACGTCTTTGTCATAACCCTGGGAGCTGTGCTTGGCCAGGCCAGCCTGTGCTTGGTGGACCACGGTGCTGCCCTCGGGGGTCGCCGCAGAGTTGTGATGACGACTCTTGATGTCCACTACCCACCACAGGTTCCCTGTTCTGCTCCAGTGGAACCGTAGAGTCATCACGTGGTGTGGGGACCGCAGTGAACTGGTCTAGATGATACTTGGGTAGATTTCCTGTTGGGGAGTTATTTTCAGATTGCTGCAGATACAGCACATGAGACTAGGAGGTGCCACCGTGGAGGGTGTGTCCCCGGGTGTCTTCTCCGCACGTCGCTGGCTTGGAGTCAAGCTCACGGCCATCCTGGGCTATTGGATGGTGTGGAGGGTCAGATTCCATGGCCATCGTGCTTTTCCTAGGTTTTCTCCGAGAGTGTCCCCCTGACTTGGGTCCCTTCCTCCTAGTGACCTCCCTTCACTGTGGGCCAACAGGTTTCTGGCTTTTGTCATGAGGAGCGAGTCATTTATTTAGGAAACATCCTGTAACGTGGCGAGGAGCTGACAAATCATTGACGTGAGCCGGGACAGGCTTTCTTTTTAATTAAAAGTGGTTCTCAGTGGTGCCACCCCGTAGTTTCAGGTTCTGAGGTCACATTACACACCAGGCTCCCCAGGAAGGTCTTACACAACCCAAAGCGGAGAATCAGGTCTTCCATCCAAAGTGCCTTATGAGTGGTGCTGACGTCAGGCGTTGATTAACGACCCTCCCCGCAGAGTGGTCTCTTCAGTCAGGTAGGCCCCTGCACAGCCGTGCCTTTCATGGGGTGCGTGTCGTGTGAGTAGATACGTGGAGTGCACTGTGTGATACACTTCAGATTCAAGGCCTTTGTTTTGATTTTATTAATTTTATTTTCTTTATTTTTTTGGAACGGGGTTTTGCTGTGTGGTGAGGTGGGCCTTGAACTCCTGGACTCAAGCCGTCCTCCTACATGCCTCCACATGCCCAACTCATTAAACTTTTTTTGGGGGGGAGGGGTACCGGGGATTGAACTCAGGGGCACTCGACCACTGAGCCACGTCCCCAGCCTTTTTTCTATTTTATTTAGAGACAGGGTCTTACTGAGTTGCTTAGCGCCTTGCCATTGCTGAGACTGGCTTTGACTCATGATCCTCCTGCCTCAACCTCCCAAGCCGCTGGGATTCATAAACTTTTTTTATCTGAGGCCTTAGTACTTGTTTTTATTTAGAAAATCATCGTCCTGGAATTAGACGTGATGGGGGAGGGTAGGGAGGAGGCCCGAGCAGCCTCTGAGACTCTTCAGTGCCCTTGAGTTCCTGGGGAGCTCCTCATAATGCGACTGTATTTAAGGGGGAGGGGCGGGCTGTATGTAGCTTTAGAGAATCTGCCCACCCAGCAGGCTCCCCTGTGGCAGATGCTGCTTCGGCTGCTGACTGTCCTGTGAATTTCAGGCTCTAGAAAACTGATGCTTTTGGCTGTGTCCAAAGTTTCTGTTTTGTTCTTTGAGAATCTGCATCATGCCAGGTGTGGTGGCACATGCCTGTAATCTCAGTGGCGAGCCTTGACTCTGGAGGCTGAGGCAATAGGATCACAGGCTCAGCAACATAGTGAGGCCCTAAGCAACTTGTGGCTCAGTGGTTAAGCACCCCTGGGTTTAATCCTTGGTAACAAAACAAAACAAAGAATTTGCACTAGCCCTTTATTTCTTAATAGGTCACTGTCCTCTATTCATTGTTAGGATTGGAATTTAGATTCTTCTTCTTTTTCTTTTTTAACATGGTTTAATTTTTATTGATTAGTTTGATTGGATACCAGGGATTGAACTCAGGGGCAGTGGACCACTGAGCCACATCCTCAGCCCTATTTTGTATTTTATTTAAAGTTAGGGTCTCCCTGAGTTGCTTAGGGCCTAGTTTTTGCTGAGACTGGCTTTGAACTCATGATCCTCCTGTCTCGACCTCCCGAGCCGCTGGGATTACAAGTATACACCACTGCACCCGGCTTAGATTCTTCTTGGTAAAATTTCCATTAAGTAGGGCCCTGTAGGAGAGGTCCTTTGGTCGCCCTCTCCACGACCTTCAGGGTATGTTTTCTAGAGTTCCAATCACTTGGTGCTCAGTTCTAGGAAAGTTGAGATTGTAAAATTTGTAAATGGTAATTTTGTTTTTTTCCCCCTTCAGTACTGGAGATGGAACCCAGGGTGCGTTACCACTGAGCCACGTCCCCAGCCCTTTTTATTCTTTAATTTTGAGACAGGGCCCGCTAAGTTGCAGAGGCTGGTTGTGGACTTGAGGTCCTCCTGCCTCAGCTTCCCGAGCTGCTGGGATTGCAGGCGTGGACCACTGTGCCCAGCTGTAACTGGTGTTCAGATTTTAACTACCCGGGGAACCTGCAGGTGACCCTGGATGTCATTCTTTTCACCCGACCTTCGGGGAACGGGATGGAAAGTCAGCTGGAATGTTTTGGCGAATGATCGTATGTTACCTGGACTCCCCACTTGCTGGCTGCGGATATCCAGAGTGAAGGTGGTAGGAAAACAGGTTCTATTCAAAGCCCACTTGAAGGAAGAAACTTCCTGCATCTCTGGAGGCTCTGAGAGCCAGGGAAGCTCTCACAGGAGAGGCTGCAGGGTCGGGCCAGGGCAGCAGAGCCACGTTAGCCACTGAGAGCAGGCCTGGATGGCGGTCCGCCTTCTCCCCTGCTCCGCACCCTCAGGATGTGTGGCTCGGCCGGCCTTCACTGGTGCAATGGCAAGAGCAAACCCACCCGAGCAGAGCTGGTGCTGCTGGGGGTCTGCCTTGTAACTGGGACCTGCAGACCAGACCAGACTCACTCCTCCCCCCCCCCCCAGCTTAGGAGTTCACAAATCTGTAGTCCACAAGCATTTTGCTTTTTCCTTTTAATCTCTTAATTAGTCTAAAGTCTAAAGCCCCTGGGGGCTTTTAAATGACACAGCGAATCACCTTCCTGGCCCTTTACTGCCTTTTGGTTTGCCCTCCTCCACTTCTCAGACCCTTTTGCATTTCTCATCAACGTCTTTTGCTCTGGTTGTGACCCTTCCGGCCCTGGGAGAGGTTACCTTTCTTACCTTTTTTCCCTGCCGGGTCTTTGTTGGTATTTTAGAAATGTCCCACCCCACCCCAGTGTTGAGTTGAAGCCTGGGTAGAGAAATCTAAATTCAAACTCTGTCCACTGGTTTGGGCTTGACTCAACTGTTCCTGCCAATGAGTCCCTTTGCCTGGGTACTGGTCCTTAGTCATGTGGAAATACCTGCAGGAAGGAATGCTTGGTGAGAAATAGACGAGTCCTAGGGACTCTAGGAGAAAGCATGTCAAATACTATTCCTCTGATGTTTCCTTTAGAGTGGTCCATATCTGGGGAGCAGCGAGGTTACTAGAAATGGTAAACGGGCCCCTGCCTCAGAGCCTGTCTCAGACATGACTTTGGTGGAGATAGAAATCACGCAGCAGGACATTGATCTGCTGGCCAGTAGGTTCTCTGTGGTGATTGAGGGGGTTGGCTTTTAAAACTCAGCCAGGCTGCTTGGCTTTCCCTGTGCCGCGGGGTTTGCCAGGGTTTCAGGGTAACAGCTGCAGGTGCAGGTGGGGATGGGTGGGGTCTCCAGTGTTCCCAGGTGTTCTGTCTGTATGCTAATGTGGTCTTATGTCATCTTAACCCTTGATTATTAGATTCACTGTTTTGCAGGAAGCGCCAACAAGATGACGTAAGTATGACTTGGGACAAGTTAGGTTTTATTTTAAGTTCTCCATTTACTATGGTCCCCTTCCTTGGCACAGAGCTTTTAATGACCACGATGACAAGGTCAAGAGAAGAGGTGGCCAGTGAGGCCAGCCAGGCACTTCTGACTCACTCAGCCCAGTTCTCTGCACACAGCACATACTCCATAGAACCCTTTGTGTCTGGTCACATGTGTGTCCAGGGGACCCTTTGCAAGTGCTGTATTGGAGGGAGCTACTGCCCTTCCAGGTGTGAGGAGGTTCCCAGGACCTGTGGACGAGGAAGCAGCCAGCGCAAGCCAGCCTGGCCTGCATGGGGAGACAGCCAGAGCATACAGTGTGCTGTCTGCTGCCCTGGGTGGGGTGGGGTGTGGCTCAGAGCCCAGCCGCCCCTGTGCAGTTTGCCTGAACTCCCGAACGAGTGGGTGTCAGAGCTGTGTCCATCAGCAGCTGTGTCTCCTGTGAGCTGGTCAGGTAGTCTAGGCCTAGCTCCACCGCTGTGGTCCGCTTTATTGTGCCTTTAACTGTGAGCGGTCTAGGATCATGAAGTTACGTCAGTGTGGGCGGTTACTTAACTAGAGACTGAGTTTGACCTTTTGTTCTGTGAGAGGTAGAAAGTCTGGTGATCCATTTTCAAAACGCAGTATTCACCCTTCACTGGATCCAGTTGCAGTAGCCAGTCCCTTTTACCCACCCTGATTCTAAAATGAGCGTAGATTTGCCCGAGTCCTCCGGTCAGGGCCGGGGGCAGCTCTGCATCAGGTGGACAACGGGCAGGGCGCCCGCCCTGAGCTCACCATCCGGTTGGGGAGCATGCCCTGCCCGCAGAGCCGGGTTCCCCGCAGCCCCTCGTTTTCTCCAACAGTTTCCAGGTGTCGTACCTGTTTTGCTGAAGATGGTGTCTCTTCCTCCATGCAGAAGGTTAAAATCCGTTTGGCCCTTTTCATCCCATTTGCTGCTCCTGCCCGGTCAGGGTGTCTGCGGTTCCCACGAGGCTCGATGGATTAATTTGTTTATTTACTACGTGACGACTGTGGCATCCCCAAGTGAACACCTGTCTTTCCCTTCGCCCCTTTCCAGATGCCCCCTAGCTGTGCTGACCTCGGCACTGTGTGGTGTGGCCGTCTGGTGGATTGTGTGTGACTACATTCTTCCCGTCCTCCTCTTCTGTCTCGAGGGTCTCAGAGCCCAGTAGCCAGCGGGACCCTTTGACAGGTGGCTGCTGTAAGTCCCGCTCCTTCTCTCTGGCTCTCTGCTGGCCTGGGGCGTGGTTCTGCCATGCATGCTGTCCTCCATGCCGGCTCTGCTGCTTGGCGGGTCTGCCCCATTCACAGGTTCTTCCACAGGTTCTTTCCAGTGCCGGGGCTGCTGGCAAGGAGGGAGGGCTTCGCTGCTCCTTTCACGCAGGATCTGAAAAATAACACGCCCTGTTTCTAAGTTGCACTTAGCTCTCACCTGATGTTCTGAAATGGCCACTTGTTGACGCAGGCATTTTCACCTGTTCCTGCTTCCTGTCAGGAGCGTCTCGCTGAGGATAACGGGGGTTCCAATCGGTCGCCTCTGCTGCCCCCCTCTCGTTCTCTGTACCTAGAGCATGTCCTCATTGACGTGGCAAAAAAGAATTCTCTCCCTCTGGTCTGCTTCCAGCAGCAGAGTGGTTTTGTGGGCTTGTGGAGCCTGTGAAGCCTGTGACCTGGCCCCTGCCATCACACAGTGGCTCTCCAGAGTCTTCCATCTCCTTCCTTCTCCTCTGTAGGGAGCGCAGTGGGCAGAGCTGTTGACCTTGACTTAAAGGACATAGAAGGCAAGGGGCTGGGTGCTCGTGTCTGCATCCCCTCCGGCGTCTGTAGGCTCCGTTCTTCTCCTTTCTCAAAAATAACCAGAATGTCTTCATTCTCCTGAGACCTTTCATCCTTGAAATGAGTGGAGACACTTGCTCTCTGCAGGAGTGTGTTGGTGGGACGCCACAGTGAAGACCCCCCCACTGAATCAAGTCCTGTGACTCTGAGGCTGGTCACCCTACATTCTTTATTTTCTAAATTTTTTTTGTTCCCTCATATTTCAGAAATGTCTTTCTGGTCCCAACTTGGAGTTGGAAATTACAAAGAGTTCCTTCTAGGATCTCTTCCAAAGTCAAATTCCATGGCCGCCAACTCGGGTGCTTTGTGGTTTCAGTGAGTGTTTTCACATGGACAGAAAGATTTAAAAATGAAGCAGATTATGCTCTTTGCATCATGAGAAGGAAACCCCTCTGCGTGTCCTTTCTTAGGCACTTTCTTGAGTGTCCTTAGCTCCTGGCGTCTCTTCTCCCTGGCGGTTTCTGACATCCCTGGTCTTTTAGGTGCTTCTCTTCACCTTCTTTCAGTGAGCTCTGAGTTCCACGTATTCAGGAGCCTGGGCGCTTCCTTGACTTACTGACTTCAGACTGTCCAGGTGGCCACGGTGTTCCAATGGGGTAGTTGGTGCTTGGGCACTTCACTCCCAGGGTCCATTGCTGTTGGCTTTTCCCAGCTGGCTCTGAGACACCTGACCCCGTGGTCGTCGTTGACGTCTGCCCGTTGCGCCCCACACCCAAGCTCAGTGTCCAGGTTGGCCTTTTAACTGGGAGGGCACAGAAGCCAGGAGCTGTCCATAGTGCCAGTGACTGAGCAGGTCTCACCCACGTGGTCACTGCCTCCCCCTTGCTTGTTTCAGAGGGTCTTTGCTCTGGAAGGCGACCACTCCAGGCCCATTCTGGTCATCATCTGTGGGCAGGTGAAGGAGCCTGGCCTGGGGTTGGCCAAGCTGAGAAGCACTGTCCAGAGCAGCATGTCCCGTTCCTGTGGCAGCCTTGGGTCCTGGGAAAGGTGTCCTCGTTCCAGACCCCACCTCAGGGCTGCCCAGGGACAGGTGCGTGGCGCCCTCAATGGCCTTCCCTGGCCGTGGAGGTCCAGGCCCTCGCTGGCCTGACAGGCAAGATGCGCGGCTTTTCGGCATTTTGCTTTGCTCTGTGCCTTGTGGTGCGGGTGTCCCTGTGTCCACATCTGAGGGTCCTGCGGGCCCAGAAATGCTGCCAAGTGAAGAGTGGACGTGGCCTGAGGCAGAGGGGAGTGAGGCTGAGGAACTCCTCAGGGAGGATGGGAAGGTGGAAGATCTGTGCTGAATGTTGCTCCAAAGCCTTCGGCTGGCCTGGGTGTCACCTCTGGGCTACCTCTGGAAGACTTCAGCGCGCGGTGGGGGCTTTCCCTCTTTGGTGCCTGCCTGCAGGTGCGCTGAGCACTCGGTACGAGCACAGATGGTGGGTCTCCCTGGTGCAGCGACTGCACCCTGAGTGTCTGCCCTGCTCTTCTTAGTTTCAGAATTCCACAGAAATCATTATCTACTAGTATTTCACATCAATTTATGCATATTTTACAGGGAAATAAGTACTTTTTAAAGGCATTTTCTAATCCTAAGAAATATTCCCAGCGAAGCCCGAGCTTTGTTTTCAGTAGTATTTTAACGTTTCAGTGAAGATGAAGGAGTCAGCTCAGGTTTCCTCAGCAGGCAGTGTACAGTATGCAGTATGGAAATTGTCTAGGCCTTTGATTATCAGTATCCCTGAGATTTGGGAACAATGAGGTGTGGTATTTCAGAGAAGCCAGCAGGACCCCCATTTTCTTCACCTAACAAGTGGCTTGGGGGACTGGTGAGCGGCCACCCCGCCGGGCCTGGACCTCAGAAGGAGTTAGGAGGTGGCAGTTGAATTTCGTTTTTTCTTTTTCAGTTTTGGCCTCAAACTTGCAATCCTCCTGCCTCAGCTGCCCAAATAGCTGGGATCGCAGGTGTACAGAACTGCATCTGGCTTGTGCTGTTTTTCTTTATGCGGAATCCCGAGTCAGATCCTTCACAGAGACGAGTAAGAGTCTCTTCCTCACTTTATATCACCAGAGAGAAGTTTTAGCAGTTGGCCAGGAGGAGTAGCGTTCGTAGCCCAGTGTGTGGTAACAGTGGTTGGTAATCATTTCAGAATAGCTTGGAGCAAGGGTTTTGACATGTGTGCGAGGCAAGGGTGAGGCCACGGGCCTGATCCGATTGCAACGTGTCACAAACGTGTGTCAAAGTGTCACGGTGTACCCCATAAATGTCATGAGCTTGTCCCTGTCCTCGGGAGCAGAGCTCAGAATCCAGGCAGTCCGTGCATCATGAACTTGACCACATGTGATCCTGCATGCGGCATTTCTGTCTTGTTAGATCATTCTGTATTCCCAGTGATGAGACCTTAGGAGAAGCTGGACCAAGCGTTGGCTGATTTATCCAGGGTTTGATTTCTCTGTGAGGTGGAGGGCTTGCTTCGGGGGACTGAGACATCTTGCGTGGACGAGGGCAGCAGCCGCCACAGGAGGACCACCTCCTCTTCCCTGGGGGCTTGGGGCCACTGGCAGAGACCAGTCCCAGACTGTGCCCGTGTTCAGGAAGACCTGCTGTTTTGAGCGACGAGGTGTTCCCATCTTACTGAACGTCGCTTGTGCTTTGGTTTGGCTGATCCTGCCACAGTCAGGCCCTGGCTTTGGGTGTTAGCTACTGAGGTGGTGGCAGAGGCCCAGGAGGCTCCGGTGGGTCCTAGTGGCTGTTTCACTTTGCAAGCTGGGTCCTGACCAGTTCTCACCCTGAGGCTCAAACGTGAGAGGAGAAAGCTTTTCCAAGTCAGTGTTTTCTCTTTCAGATGAGTAAACGTTGATACGCATCAGTGCGTGTGTGCTATTTAGTTTTCCAGTGGTTAACTCAGAAGTGAGGACGTGCCCATGCAGTCTTGGGCATCTTCACAGTGACAGTTCAGGGAGATGAAAACACACTGTGAGCAGGGCTCTGGGTGGCTGTCACCTCGGCTCTTCTTTCTGATTCTTGCCTTTGCCTCCTGGGCAGTCTGCTATGGTGGGAAGGTTTTGTCTTTTAGAGTTAAGGCAAGTTTCACGACATTTAAATGATTTCACTCTCATTTTATGGTACTTAGAAATTTAGTAAGCAGTTACAATCCAGACAAAACTCAAATTTTGCTTGAAAGTATCTTAAAACTTTGAAATGTTACAGGAAATTATTGATTTGTGTTCATCACATATACTTTGAGCTGTTATCAGTGAGTATTGTGTAGCTATTCCTAAATTCATATTCAAATATTTCAGAATTTGGGGTTTATGACTTGTTTCCATGACTAGAAATCTGAGTCTGTCTTCACAGATTCGTTTGATGGGTTCTTCAGTGTGGGAATCGGTTATCATGCCCGGCATTTGTTCTCCAAAAGCAGAGCACCCTGGTTATCTTTGTTTAACCTTCAAAGGGAAATGAGGTGCTTCTTCTCAAAAAGGCTTGGTGTTAAAATGTGTTTTGGGGTATTTTTTGGCAAGCATATTGATAGACAATCTCATCATTCTCTAGAAAATAATTTGCATTAAAGGCGCGAATGCCTTCCTCTGTCAAAGTGTCTGAAAGTTGTTGCGGTGAATATAATCTCATTTTTTTCCAACTGTTTTCAGAGTAATTCTCCAGTCCAGTGTTCAGAGCTGTAGAACACCTGAACCTGACATTTCTGGCAGTGCAGGCATTACTAAAAGAACCACCCGATCTGCTGCGAGGAAAGGCAGTTTTAAAAGGTGAGAAAAGAATCTTGTTCTTGGGAACAGCTCCAGCAAGGTTTTCCAGATTGCTCTTTTAGGCCCTAGCTCTCGAGATGGGCAGAAGACCGCAGAGGGCAGGGTCCCTGCAGTGGGAGAGGACTCACCCGGGGGCGTGTGAGATTCTGGGCGGTTGAATGCAGGCTTTTGTTTCCTTTCGTGGCTCAGGAAATTCTTACCCCTGGAATGTGGGCTGCGGAGAGTTGAGAATGTGGTTGTTCTGAAGAGTTTTTAAATGGAGTTTCCAAAGTGCTGTCACAGCTCCGAGGCGTCTTGCTGTCCGTCTGCCAGAACACTGACCATCTTTCTGTCTGCTAGCATGTCTGTTGGAGCACTGGCTGCAGTTCAGCTGGTGGCCAGTGTCTGCCCGTGCAGAGGCCCTTCCTGACCTGAGGCCCGCGGGTCCTCGTGGCCACGGTCCACATCCAGTGCTGCTCCTGCGTCCTCCATTTGTGATCCGGTTTTCATCACCTCTTCCTTTAAATATAGGCCCTGACTGGGACATGGACCTGTCCTAGGACCACACCAGCCACTTGCCACTGTCCCTGTTTACTTATCATGGACCAAAGGTGGACGTTGAATTCTGAAAGGATTCTGAAAACACGTTCTCTTTGAGGGACGCGTCAGTAATGTGGTCACAGCTGTCTCGGGCATGCGAGGTGGGGCCCCTTTGCCACTGCCCGGAGCTGCAGCTTGCGCGGCTCTGGTTTTGTGCTGTGGTCACACAGGTCTCTTACCGGAAACCATTGGCGGCCTGTGGAGAAGCAGAACCAGGCACTCACGTGTCCAGGTCACGCGTCCGCACGGTCTCCCTGCTTCTCTTCGCTGCTCCCTGGTGGCGCTGGTCGGTCCCTGGTGTGTGCCAGGAGCAGCAGACCTGGTCTGGGACTTGTGTGCGCTAGTGACCTAAGAAGTGGCTCAGTTCTGACGCCTTTCCTCATAGCCGACTCCTTTATAAATGTCCACTCCTTACTCGATGTACACGGGAAGGTGACAGTGCCCCTGCTTGAGTGTTTGAGAATTGTCAGGCACTGACTCATGATTTTTGGGGCTTTTAATTTTTCATGAGAAATGTATCAAATATTCACACTGTTTTCACTGACCAATTCCACTTGACAGGAGGCTTAGAGAATTGCTGACAGAAAGTCATATTTGGGTACTCCATCCTTAGCATGATGTCAGAGTGTCATAACAGCAGGGAAGAGGAGATGACCCAAGCTGTCCCATCAGGTCAAAGGAGTTGAGAGTAGTGTTTTTACTTATTTTTGGTTTTGGTGATGCTGGGGATCAACCTAGGGCCTGATCCATGCTGGGCAAAGCTTCGGACATGTTTTTGAAGAAAATCCAGTGACCTGAGTAAATGATCCAGAAGCAAAAGAAAGGGCCACACACAAAAAGCCTGAGATATTGCCCTGATTTTGTGTATGCACGTTATACGGTAGGAAGAGAGGTGCACAGCTACAGCCACACTGGCAGATGTAACGATTTCTGTGTCTAGAGAAATAAGACCAGAGGAAAGATCTGTCATGACACTAACGTTCTTACATATGATTGACACAACAGCTGGGGACTGTGTTTTTCTTCTTTATCTTTTTTTTGGTACCAGAGATTGAACCAGGTGCACTCAGCCACTGAACCACATCTCCAGCCCTTCTTAATATCTTGTTTAGAAACGGGCCTGCTGAGGCTGGCTTTGAACTCATGATCCTCCTGCCTCAGCCTCCAGAGCCACCAGGATCACGGATGTGCCACCAGGCCGGCTCATTTTCTTATTTTCCAACTTTTCTATGCTAAATGGTAGGAAATGGGAGTATTTTGATTCTGACACTTTTTAGGTGAGGCAAACCGTCAGAAGTTAAAATGGTAAATCTCAACATGCTGTGAATGGACACCATCCTCCTTAGGTGTAAGCACCGGGCTTCCATCACTGTGTTGCGTTTCTTGGGTACTTAATTCTGCTTTTTCTGGGTTGTGCCTTTTTAGGTTGTGGAGGAACAGAGTCCAGTCACAGAGCTGCACGTGCCCAAGCGCTGCCGTGTTCCTTTAAGGAGGGTGGGCCGTGCACCAGTGTCAAGATTTTTTGATGTCACTTGGGTGGCCTGTGCTCGTGTTGCTCAGGAGAGAGGGCTTCTGATGCAGGGAGCCTCCGCAGAGGGTGCTTGGGGGTCCTCGTGGGGAGTTCAGACCCAGTAATCCAGGCTCAGCGGTGAACTGGCCCAGAGCAGGCTCTGGGAATGTGGGGCAGTGCCAAAAACCAAGAAAGACTTCTTTTAAATTTTGAGATGCACTTTCAGAGGGGGCGGTTTAGAGAAGCAAAGGAGTAAGACAGCGAGTGAGTTGGGTTTTCAGGTTCTGTTCAGCCACCTCCTCTCGGGGTGGGGGGTTTTTCACCTCTGTTCACCTCACCTGTTTTCAGAAGAAAGACAAAGAGACCATGTGCAGTGTCCACACTGCTTCTGGGGGCACTGGGAGCCAGGGCTGCCGGCCGGGGTCATCCTTGTTTTTGGTTGGAGGGTGGCACAGGGACAGAGCGGGAACGATGGCCCTGCTGTGTGGCCTGACTCGGGGAGGAGAAGTGTGGGCGAGACTGGCAAGTCGTCCTGGGATGGGGCTGAAGTCTTTTCTTTCAGCAGAGTAGCTTAAAATCAGGACTCTTTCCACATGCGTCCCTTGTCCCCTCCGGGCACAGGCAGGCTGCCGTGCTATCCCTCCTGTGTGCAGGTCCTCTGTCTTGCAGGTCCTGCCTCCTCCCTCGGCCCTATCTTGGGGCGCAGGAGCTCCGGGGATCCTTTACACATCTGTTCCTCCAGGCTTCAGGACGGGGGGCCTGTCAGATGTCATTTCACGCTGAATTGGCTCTCCTCATTTGGGCGGTTGGCTGAGGGGGTCTTCAGCCTTGGAGAACTTTTTTCCAAACCTGTTCAGCGAGCTTACTGGGTAGCAGGTGGGGACGGGAATGTTGTGCTAAGTGTTATTGGGAAAGAGATGCCACCATGTTTGTCCTGGCAGATGATCATTCTGTCACGTGTCCCTTTGGACACACCATGCTAAACCTGAGCCACGTGCAGTGCAGTGGCCCAGGCACAGCAGACACAGAGGGCGTGTGGCCTGGTGACCGAGAGCAGCGGCCCTCAGTGCCAATGAGACTCTGTGACGCCTCGTTCCCTTTCTCAAGTTTAAAAGCCGAATCCGTGGGCTCTCCTCCCACTTCCGGCTGAGCCAGGGGACCATCTGACACTTCTCTCTTAAGAACTAGAAAGTGCAGTGGAAAATCGGCCTGCTCCTCCCGTTCTTGGGTCCCCCACGCGCTGTCTGGAGACCTGTCGTGTACCGTGTCCCTCTGGGGTCTGCTGGCCTGTGCTCCGGTCCTGTCTTCACCCAGCTCTCCCACTGAGCGCCCGTTTCTGGAAGCCCCTGCCGGTTCTTTTGGGCAGTCTTATTTCTTAACTCTCCATCCCATGTTCTAAGGAATCTCTTGTACAAGTGACTCTCATTGCGAGTGGCGTCTTTGGGAACCACCGTTTTGCTGCCCGTGGCCTTGGGCTGCTTTGTTCCCCTGTGGTTCCCGTGGTGGGGGGAGGGATGCTGGGGATCCTTCTCTAGCCCCCAGCCCACGGCTGGAGGCTGTGACCTTGGCTTCTTGGACTTCCTCAGTCCTTTTGCAAAGTCCCCTCTGTCCTGCCTGTGGCTGATCTGGATTCAGAAGTCGCAGATGGGGGTGCCTGTCTGATTGCCTGTGGCCACTGGGGTTGACCCATCCCTGCAGGGTCCCAGGAAGTTCTCTCTTTGCATGTTTTAAATGCTGGTTTTCTTCCGATCTTTCCAAACGTGAATTCACGACCCTTTAAAATTCCAGCTCTTTCCCACTTGCCTCCACCAGGTGACCAGGACCTTTTTACTCTGGGCTATCGGAAGGGGACGCAGCAGGGGCATCCGAGTGAGGCCTCCTCCAGACAGGGAGCCTTCTTGTGACTCTCGCTTTTGCTTTTCTCTGCAAGTTGTGACCGAGTTGGAAGAGTGACGAGCGCACATGGGTGGGGCTGGGAGAGAGGGGGGTGAGGATCCAGGTCATCATCAAGCAGGACAGGGTCCTTGGGTGTGTCCACTGCCCTGCTGGGCCGTCCCATCACAGATGTGCCCAATGGGCCCTGCGGAGCTGGGAACGGCGTGTGGTGCCTGGGACCAGCTGATGGCCTCTGCAGTAACCTCCTCGTTTTTCCTTCTTTCCGCCTTCCTCGCAGCCGGGTTCCCCAGAGGGAAGGAAGGACAAGGAGAGCTCTGCAGCCAGTGCCCTTGGTGGCAGTATGGTACTCACCTCGCTCTGCCACCCCTGCCCTCCCATCTCCGTTCATTTTTATTTATTGTTTTTATTTTTAAATTTTTTTTTTTCCAGAATTGAGCCCTTTTCTGCTCGGCCCTCCTCCTCTCGGTCTGTACTTTGTCATTGTGGGGTGCTGTCTCTTCCAAAGCATCTGTCATTCAAATGCACCTGAAGCCTGCTCTCCTCCGCATGTCGATCCTTTCATTGCGTTGCCTCCCTCATCCTTGGTAACTGCCTCTGGGACACTTAAAACCTCACGGTAAAACCCTTTTCTTCTTTCTCCCCAGTCCCTCTCTGTCAAGGACTAAAACAGTCTTGCGTTAAGTTAAAAACCTGTGACCAGAAGTGCCGGAGACTCTGGGAACACAAAACTCCGACAAGATGTAGCACAATTTCTTTGAGAACAAAACAAACTGCAGACGCCTTAGCCGCTTTCCACCTAAGAAGCTCATTCGGAGAAGGAAAGACCCACTGGCGTCTGGTGCCACTGAGCCCGGGGTGCGGGCGGTGGCGCGAACGGCTCGGCTCTCCTTTCTCTAGCATTGTCTCGAGTTAAACCACAGAACACTCTTGTAACCCCAGCTCAGGTGTCAGTCGCCGCCTCTGCCGTCCAGAGAGCTGCCCGGTGTGTGTGGCCTGTGTCCCCATGACTGCAGTC